GACTTTGGTAGAATTAAAAAATAAGTGTAGTGCAGGTCTATGATGATTTTTAGTGCTACTATCATCTAGTTCTGATTCTGGTTCTGTCTTAGTTAAATCCTAAGTAGTCCTGATTTGAACTGTTGTAGTCCCGTTTTAATTCCGGATCAGTTCTGGGTCTGGTTGAATTGGGGTTTAGTCCGCGTGTCTTGATACAGCCCAGACTTTGTTCTGCCTTGCTGCTTAATTAAAAAACTAGTTTAAGGTGTCCTGCACATGTGATATATATTTTTCCCTATATGAAGTCATTCTTTTTTGAACAAAACTCAAAACAGAGCCTATTAATCTTTCAGTCATTTCTAACCCCCGCCCCCAGTCCCACATGCATACTACCCTTTAGGGCTAAGCCCCGGGTGTATCAAATGTCTGCCTCCGCCTCTGCTTGACATTGTCCTGTAAGTAACAGTTCATTTAAAAGTTTGTGTTGTAACCTTTTCAGCTTTTTTCCTTTAGTGTACAAAAGGAATTGCCATTGGATGGGTCTACCACAAATTGTGAAAGAAGGGCATCCAGTAAAATTTAAAACATCTTAAATCTTGTCAGGCACATGCTTTTTAAAACACTGTTAAGACTGTAGCAAATCACATTTCTCACCACAGTCAAAAATAAGCTGCAACACCAAAGGAGGACTAATTTACAGTGGCCCCTAAAGAGGACTATTTGGATATGTGATTTTTGATTTTCGTTTGCTGTAGTATCCTGTAATTTAAGGAGTCATGGTATTATATTGGTATTATCATTATTATAAATTACTGATTCAGTACATAGTATATGAAATCAGCAATGTCATCACCCCAACTAAAGCTAGAATGCTAGATAATATGTATATATCTCTAAATATAATTATCTAAATTTTGAATGCTAAAACATATAATCTCATCTACCTTCCCAATGAAGCTTATGCGCAATTTCAATTAGGCAGATCCGCAGTCACTCATCTGCCTGCTTTCCTGGGTTGTTTGGCCGCTACTAGTCTCTTCTTGACTCCACTACTTTTTCCCACGTTGTCAAACTCAGTACTGACATCATTACTCTAATCCAATCACCTTCTTGCCCACATTCTTTCAGCCAATTAGCCTCCACTCCACGTGGTTTAAATCTCTACTCTCCGTCTTGATGCATGCTCAATCATCCAGGTAAGTAAATCCCCAAAGTTGGATTATGTTCATGTGCTAGTTTCAGTCATTGTGCGATGTACTGTTTATAAGATTGGGGAAACCTGCAGTCAGCTGAGACTGAAGAAGTCACTTGGATGAGTGACGAAACGTTTCTCCCACTGAAAATGCTATGTCCAGATGAACAGAATCAAACTTTCGGGATCTACTCTCTGTCATTCTCGCTTTCAGACTCGCATTCATGCAACCCACCTCCTCCCCATCCTCACCTCATAGACATATCAACTGGAGCTTCATCCAAGCCTCACTCATCATCTTCACCACCACCACCATCTAAATTCTGCTCTGCCATGATAGGTCATCAGAGATTAATCGCCAAATACATTAATTTCTCTATGTCAATGAATAATGCTCAATTCTCTCAGTAATGAAATGAAGCTGTAAAAAAATTTGTAGCTCACTTGTGGGAAAAGAAACCTGGAAATCATGGTAAAGAAATGCAAATGAAGACCAAGACACAACAATTTATTCCCTCTTTATTGCATGAAATCTGTCCAAATCTGCCCCAGAATGAGGTCTGTCTTTTCTTCGATTGATTTCTTGATTGTCTGCTGTGATGATTATTTCATCTAGTTAAGCGGGATTCCTGTAACCACCTCTGACTCAATA